TTTTTTTTTTTTTTTTTTTTTTTTTTTTTTTTTTTTTTTTAATGCATGCCATTTCTGAATTCATACTGCTCAAAATAACGTGTGTTATAATATTAAAATCTAAAATTACACTAACGATCAGAAATTGAATGAAAAAATCCTTTGGAAAGTATAACTTTTTCGTTCATATGGAATACTACAACAGTGCGTTACAGTACAAATTGTATTTAGAACACATTTCATAGACATGTGTTTTCTTAATAATTGTTAGATGTGTAATTATACAAAATAATCTTTAGTGAATACACATTTCTTGTTTTGCGCGCCACGTGCATAGATTTTTCCTTTTAATGTAAAAGGAAATGAATAATCGATATATACATCGATAACTGATTCCTTTGTTTCTTTATACCGTGTGTTCCATGAAACGCAGACGGATATGGATATGGCAGTGGTAATTACGACGGTGGCTACAGTGGCGGGCGCGGTGGCGCACGCGGTAAAGGTACGCATTGTAGCGTCCTTTCCTTTATATTTATATATTCCCCATCCATATCGTTATACATTTTAAGTGGCATACATTTCGATTGAATTATCGCCTACGTCTGTTTTCTCATGCAGTAACTACATTCATCTGTCCTTATTCTAAACTGAATCTCATTCTCTTCAGTTCTATTCCTCTGTCCTCTATTTAAATTCCTTTTTTTTTTCTATCTTTGTAACTATTTGTTCAACAAATGGAAAATGTGTTGTATGTAACATATATTATGTATATGTGTTGTATGTGTGTGAAAAATATGAATGAATGCAATAGAAGAGAAGTTAACATTTCGGGATAATTTATATCGATAATTTCATGCATAAAAAAGACATTCGAATTATGTCTAAATACATATATATATCGTGGAAGCAAATTGTAACAGTTATGTATTATTATGTTGTAAATCAGAGCTGTCTAAGATCGGTGTTTTTTTGGCTTAAAATTGAAATGTGTCGGAATTCACACCTATTATCATTCCTCTATTCCTTCATTGCTGTTTTATCGTAGCATGCGACACTCGATCTCAACTGAAACGTTAAAATTTTTGATCTTTTTTTTTTGGTCTTTCACTATGGTCAAGTAAAAGTATTCTGTTACTAATAATATTAGGTGTGGGAAAAAATTCGTGGCATTTTTCCCGTTACATCTAACGGGAAAAATGCCACGAACTTTTTCCCACACCTAATATAAGATATTATTATTCATAATATATTTAATTAAAAAATATAAATAACAGAATACTTTTAAACAATGAAAGACACAGGTCAAAAACTTTTAACGATTTTAAACTAGCTCCGAAACGCTACGACAAGCAATGAAAAAAGAAGTAGAAACGGTAATAAATATGAATAACAATACTTTTCGATTTCAAGCCAAAATCACTGATTTTAGACAGCTTTGTTGTAAGTTATCTGCGATTATCGATTTTTATCATTTATTTTGCAACTGACTTATAATATCCATAGGTCAGTGAATTTTATTTAAAAACATAATATTATCAACTATTATTACGTAACTCAATTGTTTTATGAAATATATATAATATTTTGATTAACTTTGAATATTCCTAGAAACTTCTCTTTCTACATGGAGATATAGCAGTTTTTTTTATATATACTGTATTTTATATATTGTTTTTTTTTATAAACGTAATAGAATCGTTTAACACTCGCATCCAATGGAACGTTATCCTATATTATTTAGCTGTCGCTAGAGCTTGAGATATGGAGGAAGGGGAAAGTATAAATTACACAGCCTGCAGCTTACTACCTTAGCCTGTAGCCTCTACATAGATACTATAGTTTTCTCTCTTACATTTATATTTATCTATATCTAATTACTCTCTAAAGCATTTGTGCGATTTGACAGTTTCTTTTGGTAGTTTATGTACAGTTTCTATACATAAGTTTATATGCTTAATCTCTTATAAAGATAAACAAGTGATGCAGCTAGGACGATTAGACTAATAAAGTGCCATGTGGGTATGTGTTTCAGGAGGTTCAGGCTACGGTGGCAAGCAAAGGGGTGCTCGTCAGAACCAGAGGCACCAACCCTATTAATAAAGGAATCCTCCTTATTTATGACCGCAATGCAATTCGCATTGTAACTGCCGGTGAGTCACTGTCCAATCTCCTAATGCTCTTACATCCATCTCTGCACTAAATTACCCAATTTTAATGTGCACAAATAACTTTAATTTTGTACTTAAAAAAATAATGCACAGATTTTTATAAATTATGTATTCTTTATAAGAATCTAAAATCAACTTTAAACAAAATAAAATAGTTACAAAAAAATGAAATAGGTTTTTTTTTTTTTTTTTTTTTTTTTTTAGAATCTGTTTAGAAACAGTTACTTATACTCAATTAGAAATAAGCTTTCTTAAATTTTTAAGTAAATTTTTAAATAAAACCAAAGCTTGTATTTTTCTTGTAATTCTTAATTCGAAATAGCTTTTTATCTGGAATTATTGTTCTACGTTTTGCATATTTCACACGTTGCTGCTTTTTAATGCCAACTTTTGTTAACCATTCCATTTCTATTTCTGTTTCAAATAAATGTTTCATTTGCTATGCTCCGTCCATGTTTCATTTGCTATACTTTATTAATTTTAACAAATTGATTTGTATATGGCATAATGCAATACGAGTAATTAAAAGATTAATATATTCCTTTCCTTTTCAGGTATCGCAAGCCGCGGTTTCCGTTTACAATCACATTACAACTCGTCCAATCATTCCATTCAATATGTATCAACATCGGCCAATATTCAGAAAAACAAGATTCGAACAGCATGAAATTTTACAGAAACCGTTCCAATAATATTTTGTTGATTTTGTTTTTGTATATACATATACGCGCTTGCTTTTTTCAACTTATAAAAACATTTGCGTGCACGTGCGCACGCATTGTGTATATCGTGAATGAATACCTAATAATAATAGTAGATTATTTTAATTTTTTCTACAAAACACGGCGAACAATGAACTATTATAAAGCAGTAAGCACGCAATATGTTTCTATATGGCATGCGAAAAATCGATTTAAAAACCGGATAAATCGTGCTGTTTATAACGACCGTGTGAAATAATATAAAAGGATTACTTCTTCCTTATTAGTAAGATATAATAATAGGATTAAATAAATTCGTTTTGTGTACATAATATATATCTCATACATACATTTGTAGTTTTGTTCTGACCTCCTATATGGCAACTTAATATTTTTTTCTTTTTAATACACGACATGTACACAAGATTTATGTCTGGAACGTAGAGATCATCATTTATACACATAGATTTAAATAAAAGACTGACACATACATAAAATGGAATTTATCAGATTTATTAATTAAAGATCTTATGCTCTACCGATTCATAACATCGTTGTAGCACACACATGTGTAAGCTTAATATGCAAACTAATATACCTGGTGTGTGCTATGACAAGATTTTGACTCGATCATAGAAAACAGCGCATGTACATTATATTTATATACAAACAAGTTCATTCTAACACGAGAAGATTGTCACAATAAAATTTTTAAAGTACATCAGACGATATTGTATTGAAAATACAATGTTGGGATTATGTATTTTTTGTCCGAGTACATATTGTTCTGATCTTATGTCTCACAAAAGTATTACGTTATATAAATTTAAAAGGGATGGTCTTATGTTAGTGGTTTATTTAAAATAAATTATGTTTATATATATATATATATATACCAATTTGTGTTCTTTAGTGTAACCATTAATAGCCATTTATTCAAATCCTGCGATTTTTCTTAGCTTTCCTTTCCTTCCCGAACTTTTAATATTTAATTCTTATAAAGATTTACATAGTTTGAAAAAATTACATTTTCTTTGAAGATAATGTGACTAAAGTTAAAAATAATAAACAAAAAAAGTGATTATTTGAATGTAATTTTATATAAGCTAACATTTTTATTGAGTCTTAATATTTTTCTCGCATTTTATTCATAAATTGAATAGCTTAGAAACATTTTTGAATAATACTTTGATACATGGATAATAAAATTCAATTAATAATGTATTAATTATTATCAATCGCTAATGGCAGATATTTTATTCTTGATAGATACGAAAATATAACTTCTATTGTTCCCATAAAATTATTTTTATTTTCCGAACAGATTTTTTAGGGGGAGGGAAAAAGTTTTAAATTATAAGAAATTACAAAAAAAATTTCAATAAATAGTTATATAAATTTTTTTAAATAGTTTTAATTTCCATTTATCTTTTACATTTGATCCACGAAAGCGGAGGCTAGTAAGTGATCGAAACACGAGAAGGCGTCATTGAGATCACTATCTTGGAGATTAATGAGCCAAAGCTACAAGCTCTCTAATTAGTAGTACTATTAATCTCATCCAGCTAAGATTAGTCCGTTCTCTCATTTAACATGTTCTCGCGTTAATGATAATTGCATCTTAACTAAATTCATTTAACTGATTGAGCTGTTAAATTAGACGCTTTATAATTTTGCAATCTTCTTTAATAAAATTAAAACTTCTATCATTTTATTATCCCTTTTGCGAGAGATGCAAATACGAATATATGGATACTAAATATATGGATTTAAAAATAAATATTTCTCAGTTTCAATCACAAACTAGCATATTGGATTTTTGCATTTTCATACAAAGCATTCCAGAGAAGTTATAAAAAACAGCATCGTAAATTTTTATAACGAAGTACCACTAGAATTCCATTTTAATCATTCAAGGGAGATATTTTCCGAGTCCAGTGAGAAATAGTTTCGTTCAAAGCAAGAAAGTTTATTACTAGCAATATGTGCACTTTTATTTAATATTTCGGAAGCTTTTACAAGTTTTTTTTTCTTTGGCATCACTTTTTTATCTAATATCTTTTTATCTTACTTATCATTAGTTCAGATTTTACAATTCCAACACTTGAATATTTTAAAAATAAAAAGATATTTTTATCCACTCTTCACATCTCAACTTTTTGCAGGATGAGATCTCTATAATAATAGAAGTTCCGCATTTTTATACTAAAAAACCAAAATTAAAAATAAGGCGTGTTAATACTTTGCGAACTAGCATGATATTTCCCTTTTGCAATATACGTTAAATGAATAAATAGTTTCGTTTATTATTTTATTAAATAATATTTTTTAATATTAAATTAAATAATGAATGAAACTCTTCCATTCAAATGTTAAATAGTTTTTTTATCACTCAGTATAAATATATGTATATTTATTTAGTACAAGAACCATTAATTTAACTATTATTTTTTATTAAATAAATATTTATTTATTGTAAATGTTAGTATTATTGAAAAAAAATATTAAGATTTATTTAAAAATTACATTTTTTTCTTAGTGCACGTATATAAAGTATGCTGATCTTCCTGGTGCAATTAATGCAAAAATACATATAATTTGTTTTGATATGTAATTAAGTAATGTCGTTGATCCGAAATAGATTTTCAATAATTATTGCGTCGCCTATCGACATCGAATCCAATTTGAATCCACGTTTATTTCTAATCCGGATCCTTTAGATTTTACACTATGCTCGTGCAAGATTTCGTATTCGGTCTGACAGATCAATAGTAACTTTCGGTTACTATTCAGTGCGATAGTCGAGTTTTGTACCAAACAATCTCCGGCTGCGGTACGACAACCGTTTCGTACTTTGTGGCGAAGCCACCCCATCAAACATCGAATGTCACCCGCAAAATCCGTCACGTAGGGATGGAAACGCAATTAATCTTCGGTAACAAAGTACGTAACTCTTAGTAGATTAATTCTTCGATTCCATTAAAACTTCGGCTTATAAATTGATACCCATTACATTTTTGTAATTATTTCTATATTTCCATGAAAAAGTCATGAAAAATTCTTGATTACTTGAGAATTAAAAGAAAGTATACAAATTTATCTATTTAAAAAATAGTTATATAATTTCATAAAATAAATAATTCATAGAGAGCTTATTCTTGTAATTTTTCGTATTAAAACAATTCATAGATTTTTAAAACTTTACTCAACCTATTATGTTTTAAAGATTTAATTCTACATACATACGTACAGCTTTGCTACTACTAGATTTTTAAGAAAATGCAAATTATGGTTATCACATTATCAATATCAGATAAATTAAATTTTCTTCATTTTTAAATTATATTAAATTATAATTTTTACGTAAAAGCATATAAATATACTTTTAATTATCTCGATCACAAACCGTTGTTTCCCCTTTTTTTTTTTTTAATTACTTTCATCTCTCCTATCATCTTTTCGCTCTAATGAATATTCTAATGTGTCTCCTTATAATCTAATATAATTAGGATTGCACGGTTCTACTTTGTTCTGTCCGCTTAGTTATCTACATCACTTATATTACTTTTTCCAATTCACATCATCGTACTATGTTTCAGACAATTTCTTCTGTTTCTTGTACCAGTCACATGACATTTCCACGTTGTTCCAAAAAACGACGATTATCTCTTTCTACTGAAATCGGGTTTTCCATCCCGATCAATGTATCAGTTTCGCTGCAATATTTTCCGACTATTTGCTTCGCTATTGTTGACATCCGTCTCGTTTTACGATGAAATCCCGCGCGGTTTGATTTATACGAACCGTGTACATTGTATGCATTTATTCCATCATCCGTCAATATCATATTGTATTATCGTAATAAATAACTATCGTGTATTATTTTAAGTATTATCTCCCCGAACCTCTGCGGCATTGGCCTTTCGGCATGGCATAATTAGGTGGTAACCGGCAAGCAGAAGCATGCAAACACAATACGAAACATGAATAATCATTAAGCAAATCCTTCCTCCTCTGTTTGATTATCTTGTTATAGATAATACGAAATACAACACCGCGTGATAAATATACTACATAAATGTATTTCGGAATAATTAATTATAAACGTGAACGCTGAATATTTGGGGCAACGTATTCGATTAATCGGATATCCGGATTGTCTACACTTGATATGATACATTGTTAAATATTAATTAACTACTCGTATGTATAACAGAAAGTTATGCGCAACAGCCGATAGCGCAACTACAAAGAGCAATTAGTTTCGTAAAATTTTAAAATCAGATCCTAAAAATTTGACAGAAATGAGAGATGAGATCTCTAAATTTAAGTAAATTTAAGACAGAGATGGGAATTATTATTCAACATTTATTTAATCTTATACTTACTGTCATCTAAATAGTATCATGCTAGAAGAAGGTTGACTAGTACGCATTTAAACATTTAAAGCCGTTTACAACATCGTGGTTTAATCATATAGATTGTAAAGTTTGTACTCGCTATTACTTAAGTTAAATTAATTTGCTCGTCAAGATGCGTATCCATTGTATCCTATGGAAAATATAACTCTCGTTGCTGTACAGATTGAATTAATATGTAATTAATTACTCTACACGTACAAAGATCGTACTTTCATCGCCGAGGTTATCACGCTCAACGTTAAAAATATTGTCTCTTCGTACTTTATTTGAAAAATCTGTTTGCAAGTTAGAAAATCGAAAGAGACATAGGTAATAATCCTGCGAAAAGTTATTAAGTCAAGAAAAATTTTACTTACATGATACAATCTTTTTTTTTAATTAGGAAATATCATGTAGAATTATTATGAGTCACAATTATTATTACTCGAGACATCGAGTTTTTGGAACTGTATTATATTATACATAAATAATAAAATTATTATTATATTAAAATTATAAATTTGGCAATGCGCTGTAAACTAGAATTATGTTAACTCAACAAATTTTTTTTTTTCAAACTTTGAATTGGATTTTTTCGCAATTAAATAAAGAATTACACAAATTAAATAATAGATATTAATCTTATGATTATTAATTGCAATTAATCTTTGATAGATAAAAATTGATATTAGGGTAATTTTATATATCTCATTAAGGTTCATCAATAGACAAATTATTACGATCGTTGATCATGTAATACATCGAATACAGCAGAGTATAGCTTATTTCTAAAATGTAAAGTTGTCATTTAATACCGTTATTCTTCGATGATTCCAACAGTTAAATTATTCTTACATGGTTTCAGTCTGTTAAACGATTGGGTAGAAAAAGAATCTGCTATATATGTTTAACAAAAGAAAAACGATAGTACATATAACAAAAATTATATGTGATATTACAACTAACTCTTTGAATAATGTCAAAAAAATTTCAATGCCCAAAAATTGTACTTTGCTACGTAATTAATTATTTCATAGCTCTCTTACCGGTACTTTAATAACGTATTCGTGATTCTCTCTTTTCATTCACACACTCATACACAGATGCAACGACAAAAGCTGTTTCCACACAATATGCAAATAATCCTAATTTTATATTATATCATATAACAATATATACGCTATAAATGTCATAGTCGCTAGTCGCACATTTGATATCTTTCATTCTTCTTTTTTTTCATGTCGGTCCAAGATTTTTACACTTTCTTATGATACATAACATTATCCTCAACGACAAGCACAGAATTGTTAAAATCGCGTGAATTACTAATATTCACGTTCGTCAAATCTAAAGTACCTAAATAGTATTTATTGGATTGTCCGGAAAGTTCGTGCCGCAAAAGATTTAAATTTAATAAATGTATACTAAAATTTAAATCTTCTGCGTTTCCTTCAAAATCGGCACGAACTTTCTGGACAACCTAATACTTGTATCTT